AATACATAAACATTAAGGGTAACCCTCAAATAGTAGGTGTTAGGCAAACTCCCATATACATGCACATAGGGAGTAACTCAATCTCAGTGTGGTGGCACCAGATCTGATGTAGTAAGTGGTGTAAATTAAATCAATTTGGATGGACCTTCATTCAGGGCAACGTTGTTTTTTCTCGTGTCCTATTTTGTACTTCATACTCTGCAACTGGGGCCTAGTCCGCCTGCAGTCAGAGGATACGTGGTAAATTCTCACACAAGGATTTAGGGGTGTCTCGGATGGAACTAGAGCACGGTGGACTTGAAATGCCTCTGATTGGACTACACCAGCAGGTAGGTGTTACCAGGTAGGTTTTTTTGTGTTAAATAATACAAAAAAAAAAACAAACAGCCAATCACATTAAACCATTACTTTTTACTTCCGCAGGTATCACATGGACTTCATGAAAAACATATTAAGTCGTTCTTAGGCTACATTGAGTCCAAGAGGAAATTTAATTTCTGTCCAAAGACTCCTGTCTCCTTCGCTGGCCTCCCGTCCCTGTAGCATACATCTGTGGGCCAGTGATGGAAAGATGAATGAAAATGGCAAATCTGAAAGCAATGAACTAGTGAGGTGGGTAGACTGCCCACCCCCATGTTGAAGAGATGCTGTTTGAGACTTAACAGAGTTTCCCCTGTTGCTACCACATACAGCAAACCACAAGACTGGCATATCTCTCCATAACTGAAGCAACTACTCCCCCATGTGGATTGAATAGGAATTTCCTTGGTCTCAAACTTTTAGATGTGCATTTTGTCTGAGTGCTGAGATGACCCTATATCCACTGAACCTGTCATGATTGGCCATTATTTTTTCAAGATTATTTTTCAATTGATTATATAAAAGCAAATATGGTCTGGAGTTGGGCTGTAACTAGAGGGATTAATCAGGGATAAAGGGATGATTACTTAACAAATGAGTCTTTGAAGTTATTGTTGAATAAGTTTTGATAGGAACTTCTATCCCGTATAATGTGGGAATGACCGTTCCAACAGTATTACCCACATCCTTGTACAATGGCAACCCAGTAACATTAAATTTGAAGATGGATTGAAGACAGAGAGAAGAGATTCTGTTTGTAAAAAACTGTATTTGTATTACCAGCAATTACACAAAGTGGGTAATTACCCACACCCCAAAGTTTGTTTTTCTTCTTGATTTATAAAATCACAATTTTTCTTTTATTTCCAAACATTATTTTCTTTATTTTCATATTATTTGAGAATTTTTTTTTTTTTCATTTTTGAAATTGAGACGATTACAGGGCTTAAAGCACGGAAAATGTCTGTGCCTGAAATGTGTTTGGGGGTCAGCTGGAGGCTGCAAGCCAGATGACGGCTGTGGAGCATATCGCAACCCCTTTCAGAAAAACAAGAACACCAAATCTGATTGTTTCTGCAAACTTGAAAGGTCCAAATGGAAGGAAAATGCATTATCTACTCACCATTCCTCAGTCGGAAACCATAGTCTGATAATTGTGTCCAAGTCCAAGCACAACTTTCAAAGCCATGAAGAGCAGCCTATCCAATACGCCTGTCTTTCTAACTTTTCAACGCTTGTTCCTCCGTTGATCTTTGAACAGCGTAAAATATAATATACCATAATAGGCCTACTGTTGTCAAACGATTGCCAAATGAATCCAAAAGATTTGCGACGATATGAAAACAAAAACAAGAGCCTATTCATCACAGTGTTTTTTCAAACTAGCACAGTCACATGCATTACTGAGCTGACACTTCACTCAGCTGAAGTGTAAACAGAAGCTTTTATTAATGAAGTAGGTCTACTGGATAAATACAAAATATAAGGTTCCTTATGACTGTGTGTATATAGCCATATTCTTACTACACGACAAGAATATTTGCCATGGACATATAATTATCTATTGTTGAATCTTAAACGGCCCTCACATCTCAGTTTCCTCTGTGCTGAGTAAAAACTGTTTCAATAGTTAATCATTTCATAAAAACTAGCACAAACTTTGCATAAATCGATGCCAAGACTTACCACAGTTACAATGGAGGACAACAAAACTGTGATGGTGACTGCAGGGAAAACTGCAGCGGTCCCACACATGTCACCATGTCACCCCAACTTCATTTACTCTGATCCCACTGTGTTGAAGAAAAAATATTTGATCTTTTTCGCATATCCTTGGGGCGCAGCTCGGCCCCCGCCATGAACCCCCAATGTTTTAAGTGTAGGTGCACTGTGTTAGGGGCAAGTCTTCCATAAAAAATGGTGAAAAGAAGTGTTGAATAACAATGTATACTTTCACTGATAACTGATATTTGTTTTCCAGCCAGTCACAGTTCAGGACCTCCTCCTCCTCCTCCTCCTCCTCCATCAGTGATACGAGGACGTCCTTCCTGTGCCCTGTAGTGAAGAGGTAAGCGCAGATCACGGAGATGAACTTCTTCCTCCGCGTTTTGCTTTGGAGGAACTGCAACTGCAAAGTAGAAGGGAGAACAGAAGCGGAGGAAATGGCTAAAACGGGATACAGGATTGTCCACACCAACAGGTGTAGGAGTCAGGGTTCAGCAATGGTGGCAGTGGAGGAAATTCCTCTGGATGTAGTTGTAGAGGAGCTGTGGCGCCCTCTTGCACCCAATGTTTCTGTTTTGTAATTCTGTTGCTAGCACTGAATCATTATGCTTTCTCAAAATCTCAAATGTCGTTCCACATCCACTGTGCTGTATTTTCTTTATTTTATTTAGTATATGTTGCATATCTAGTCTGACTTGGTGAGGAAGGTTTGATGAATGCTGTCAATTTGTTTACTTGACGCATCATACTTGTTGGAAATGTCTGATGTTGAATCTCTGAGTGATGGATTGCTTGTATTATTTTGAAATACTTATTGTGTGTGTTGTCAGATAACTGAGAAGCATCTTGATTCTGCGCTGGAGTTCCAGATGAGAGTGGAAGCACAGAAAATGAAGTTTCTCCACTCTAGCTGGTCTGCCAGTCGGGTTAGTGCTTGAAAGCGATTAGAGGAACAAGAGAGAAAGATTAGGGAAATTAAAAGTCCCAAAATGTTCAACAATTGTCTGTGGTGTACACACTGGATTCTAATCAATCACCAACTTGTTAGCTTGTGTTAGGTCCATGTCCTTTAGAATGAGCCGCCAGTAAATCACTGAGGCTTAAGTTAGCATGTGTTAAAAGTCTGTAAATCCTTCTTGTTAGTGTTAAAAACCTTCTAGGGAAGGACGTTTCGCCACAGAAGGCTTCATCAGAAGATGCTTGAAGGCCCGGTGACTGTCCCTCTGTGGTCCAACCTGCTGTCTACGAAAGAAGACCTGAGCCAGTGGGAGGCTAGTGTGCTGTTGGGCTCTGAGAAACTGTTTGAGTGTCCTCTCTGTCTGAGGCTCTGGAAAAGGATGGAAATGGAATTATGAAGGTCTGTGTCCCGGGATGCTATTCTATGAATTCTTATAATTGGGATGATAGCTAGCTTTGTCAAGCAACACATGGGTGTCTGTGAGTTTAAAGTAAACTTGGGTAAGTAGTTTTTTGCTGTTATTGTTGATACCTTCAAAATAACTGTTGTCAAATTCAAAAGCATTACATTTTAGACAGATTTCCATACATTTTAGTATTTCAGCATCTGGTCTGTTCCTATCCAGGTGTTTCTGAAAGATGTTTTCCACTGTTTCCAGCCCCACTTCCGTGCTAATGTCCGTATAGAGGCTGTCAATAGTAAACAGAAGAGCGTTAGTGGCAACACCATGGGTCTTTGGTGTGTCTGCTGGAGAAGGGTCCTAGAAAGGAATCTATGTAGAGGGAGATGTAGGTGGCACTGTTGCAGTTGGAGATTACAGTTCTCCTGGGGGAACTGTGTAGGGAACGCTGTTTGTGAATTTTGGGGAGGAGGTGAAATTCTAAGATTGTGTTTCCTTTGTATGATTTACTATAGATTAATAGTATTTGGGTTTGGCTAATTGCCTGTTGGCCTCCATAGAATATTGCTGTTTGTCCATAATTACAATTTTAAACCTTATCTGCCGGTTTAATAATGATATTTGAAAGGTTGTTCTAACACTCAAATTTAAACGGACTTGCACTCATGTATATAAAACTTTTCCCATTCACTCACACATTCATACATCACACACTCATACACTGATGGAACAGCCATCAGGGACAATGTGGGGTTCAGTATCTTACCCAAGGACACTTCGACACACAGACTGGAGGAGCCGGGGATCGAACCACCAACCTTCTAATTATGACGAATTATGGACGACCCACTCTACCTCCTGAGCCACCGCTCACAGATAGAAACACTATCATAGTCAGAAAAAAAGTCTTGAAAGTCTAAAAATTCCACCAAGTGATTAAATATTGTTTTAAATGTATCTTGGGATGGTGACTGTTCAAAATGTTTATGACTATTTTAAAATCATCAATGAATAAGACCAGAGGCCATAGATGTCATCTAAATACCTCAGGTACAATATATGGAAGGTTGACGTTTCCCAGTCGGCTAAATAAGTGTGCATATGACGGGGAATATTTTTGACCCATAGCACAGCCAGAAATCTGTAAATAGCATTTCCCATCAAACTCAAAGTCGTTTTTTAAGGGTTGGTCTCAAGAGCTCGAGGATGATGTGATCGGGGCGAGAAGCATCCTGGGAAAAATTTGTGCTACCGCCTGTAATCCCAGTTCTGTGTTGATGTTTCTGTATAAAGATTCAACATCAGGTGAAAAAACAGAGCCTGTTCCCAAGTGCTCTTGGGATAAAAAGCGGGATAGTTAAAAATAGTTTTAAAAAAAAGTGATATAACTATGCCAAAATTGAAAAATCACTTTAAAAGTCTTTAGTTCAACATGAGCTGAAGACAAACTGAGACACGACACCAGCTGTGCTTCATCAGGTGGAACTGTTTTAAATGTCTTTGAGGTGGGCAGATCCACTGAAACAAACTTTACTACGGACACACATTCACGTTTCATTCAACTTTATCATTAGTAAGACACTCCTTACATCAGCAATACACTTCATATTCAAACAAGACAGGCTTTATATGGACTCACTGTGTACAAATTGTGCAACATTGGATAAGACACAGTCCTACAGTAGTGATATTAAAGAAAAGTGACAGAAAAAATGTCATGGGATGCGGCTTTATTTGTTAGTCTCAGACTAATGTGCAGACATGCACACATACAGCTCTCTCTCTCTCTCTCTCTCTCTCTCACACACACACACACACACACACACACACTCCTGCAGTCTGCATGATCTCCATCTAATTATTATCATTACTATTAGTAGCAGTAATAAGTATAATATACTTTATTTGTTTCTTTTCAATACAAGTAACAAAGTGCTTCACATGAGTCAAATATTAAACATCCATTGATGCAAATCAATGTGAAACATCCCACAATAAAACTGAACTGACTCTGAGAGTCTGGTCCCATCTCCTTTAGTTTACAACCTTGAAATGGCCAGCAGTGAACTACCAGCGGAGCTCAGACTGAGTCCTGGATCACAGGGGGATAAAAGCTCAGACCTGGACTTAAAAGTAATTAAAATAATTTTAAAATCAATCCCTTAAATGAGCGGGCGGCCAGTGGAGAGATGCGATAGTAGTGATGTCAACACATTTTCTGAGTTAGGAGCCGAGCTGCAGCATCTGAACTACCTGTAGGTGGTGGATTGATTTCTGACTGAGACAGGTATACAGGGAGTACAGCAGTCGAGGTGGGAGGAAATAAAAGCATGGGTGAGTTTCTCCAGATCTGCGGCTGAAATAAAAGACTTCACCTCATCTTTATTTCTCAAGTGACGAAAACATGACTGAACAACTGTCTTCCCATGGGGTTCAAAACACAAATCCTGGTCAAAAAGGTAGAGTAGTGTACCGCCAGTAGTGGGGGTAGAAAGAGTACATTGTCTCAGGGGAGCTTTAATGTTCCACAACTACGAGAAGAAGCACTGAATGTGTCGGTTTTTCACTCAAGGAAACAGAAAACTAAAAATCTTAAAATATTGGCAGATTTGTTCCTAAATTGTTGCTGTTAGTTTTCGAAGCCAAAAAAACATAAGAAACCCACGTACTCCCATTCATTTATCCCACATAAATACACACACGCACAGGAAGTCATTTGAAGGTATCACTGGGCTGTGCTTCTCCTCTCATTTGATGGCCTGCCAGATGATGATGATGAGGATGATGAGCACAAGCGACAGCACCATGGCCAGCATGCACATCCTCTTACGGGATTTCCTCTGCACACAACAGACATCATGTCAGAGTAAACACACACAATGGAACCATCCTGCATCAGTGTTTTACGTTACAGTGGTATTAGCTTAACACTGGATGAGGACAGGACATCATATGCAACTTTTACTATTAATCCTCCATTGTGTAACCATATGAAACAATAAAGTTTTAACTGTCAAGAAAAAAATCTAATGATGTCTTTACGTTTATTTTCTCCAGCCCCTCCATCATACCTTGTAATAGGCTGCCTTCTGCAGCTGGACCGCCCCTCTGTCCACATGAACCTCAGCACTCTCCACATTGGCCTCGATGCTGTCTGTTGATTAGAACACGTGAAGCTTCGATGAGAGCACGTGTGCACACACCTAACTGACACGTGTGAACCATCAACTCAGTGCTAACCCGAGTTCCCTCTGACTTACCGATCATGTCTCCCTGGTCATGGATCATCACAGCCAAGTCCTTAAAGATCTGGTTCACATCCGTAATGTCAGCCTGGGGAGGAAGAACAGGAGCAACTGGTGAACAGGTGAACTACATGTGATGGTATCAGTGCTCCTGCTTCTGTAGGTCATCCTGCAGGTTTATACCTCCAGCTGTTTGATGTTCGTCTCTCTCTCCTTGATGATCTCCAGGTCCTCCTCTGTGATGGTGGGCTCCTCAGTTTGGCTCTGACACCAATCATCCTCCCTGCACAATCATACACACAATCATTTCAATACCTGAGTTTGCTTTTTGTTTTTGATACTAACATCAATATTTAGGAGTTTATAGGTCAAATTGCAATATCCTGGTCAATATGAATGTTTTTACATAAATACATTGAATAATAACTTCATAAATATCTCCTCTACTTGGTTATCAAAAAACTGTGACCAGGACATATACAGTACTAACATGTTATCGTCATGGTTAGCCCTGATGGACTGTTTATGTTTGGACTTTTGCTTGACTTCCTGTTTTATTTTGGAATTACTTCCCTTGGGTGTTATTTTACTTCCTGTCTTTGTCCTGTTTCCCTGCTTTGTGATTGCCTGCCCCGCCCTGATGTGTTTCACCTGTGTTCAATCCCCCTTGCCTCCGTTGTGTGTATTTAGTCTCTGTGCTCCCTGCTGTCTGTCAGTTCGTCTGTTATACCTGAGTTTGGATTCGTGATGTTTCCCTGTGTCTCTTACTCCCGTGTTTTTGTTCCACCAACCCCCTTTTTGTGTTGGCTGCATCTGGGTTCAGTTTTTCCCTCAAGCCTGACAGTTATAGTTGTAAAAATTGCCAGTGCTCTCTGATCGACAAACTATGTAGTGGATACACCGTTTCTGAGGGCCATTTTTTGACAGTCTGAAGCGCTTGGTTTAAAGTGCATGGCGCAAGTGCATTTACTACGTTGTCATATCAGCTTTTGCTATTTCAAAAAACGGTCGCTGCGCCAGGCGCATGGTTCAAAAGGGTTGCACTTAGTGTCATGATTATTCATGGGTGTGTTTTGGGCGTGACATGTAATGTCAGGAGGAGGAGCTGGAAAGCGTTGCTGGAGAGAGGGATGTCACTTGCGTTGTTCTTTGCGCCACTTTGCGCCGGGTGTAAGAGTGTAAGATAGGGCCATGAATCACCTCATACCTACCTTTGGCATTTCTGTACTGACATTTCTTATTACTTATTGGCCAGTATATAGCCTATATTTATTTAAGAGGCTAAAAGCTCTGATGGAAATGTTGCAGTATGCCGAGAGCTCTGCACTAACAATACAGTGTGCAGTCACTCGGAGAACGGAAGGGAACATATTGTCTCCTTGCTGTGGCTTTTTTTCACACCCAACTGCACAAAGAACAAAATGTGGACTGAATGGACTGAAGGTAAAATATTTAAAAAAAATATACTGAAGAAACATACTTTTCAAACGTGACCAGCTGTTCATCCACATTTTCTCCGTCTCCCTGTAGACAGTTACAAATAAGTTTAATCAACATCAGCTCACTTTTCCATCATACGTGCATATTTCTTCGAGGTTTGTGTTTAAGAGTTACGTTACAGACTGTAAAGGCTAAACAGTTCTTTCCCTGGTGCTCACCATGACTCTGGATCCAGCTCGAGCTCTGGCCACTGACTCCTTCTCTTTCTCAGCTGCCCTCCGCTGCACCACCTGGAAGTTGTTGAGGGCTGCAGAGAAATCATTCATCAAACGTTCCCTCTGCAGCTTTTGCTGCTTCTGGAAGAAAGAAGACAGGAAAGAAAAAAGACCATCTCAATGTTTTTTTTTTTGTTTTTTTTTAATGTTCTCATGTCACAGACACCCAACTGGACAAATATTAAACCTTTAATTTCCTGAATTTGGCAACAGTGCTGCACAGTACAGAGTAGTAGCAGGAGTGTTTATCAGCAGGGGGAGATGACCTCAGGTTTCCTGAGCTTCTCTGGACGGGGCAAAGTCACAAGGCACAAATACACAAAGACGTTGTTTTTAGGCTGAACCAAAAACCCTTTTCTAACTTTTCTTAATATTTAAAAAGAAATATTTGTTAGGCATTTTTGCAGTTATTTGATAGCAACAGTAAATGACATGAGAGGCAACAATGGCTTTCAGTGGACTTGGAAAAAATCTATTCTTAATTGACATGAAAGTAGAATTCTTAGGTGGGCAGGAAGCCAAAGAATGGAGCTTGGAGCTAGGGACCTCAGGCGAACAGCCCAAGGGCTGAGCAGTGGCGGATCAGACCTCAGGTGGAAAACCTGGAGGCAGGACAAAGGCAGAGCAGGAAACCTCAGGCAGGTCGACCAGGACCCCTGACGCAGGAACAGACAGAACACTGGTGAAGAAAGCCAATTCAGGGTCTGATTTATTGTGTTTGACAGGAGACGCTCGGGGCTGCTGGGCAGCTGAAGCTAGGGGGCGCTGGGTGCGTGAGTCTCTGTGGAGCTTGGATAGCTTGGGGGATCAACATCTCCAAGACCCATGATTCTTTCTTGGGGATTAGCCAGACCGAAGGCTAGCATGCTGACAGCTATCATGATGGAGGCTCGAAGGCCAAAGGCTAGCCAACTGGGAGGCAGGCTGGAGGCTAGCTGACTCAGGAGTAGGCTGCAGGCAAAGTAACCCAAGCCTTATCGCCTGATGAGCACGCAGAAGTTAAGCAGACACTGGAACAAGCTGACAGTAAGCCAACCGGGAGATTGGCTGGTGGCTAGCAGACTGGGAATCAGAGGTGTTCAGAAAGTCCTTAATCTCATCTGGTAGAGAATCTTCCAACCACAGCGTTTTGGACACCTTCCTGCACACCAACCTCTGAGCAGACTCTTTGTAAGTGCTCTTTCCCGCTCACCATACAAGCATATAAAGGCATACGACAATTAATTCAGTTCATCTTCACATGAACTGAATTGAAACACAAAGGACACGCAGAACTGCAACTGAAAATAGGAAAGACGAGGCTATAAATACATTGAGGACTAATTAACTGATGAGCAAAAGGTGACAAAGAAAATTGGCAGGAAAAACACAAAGGCAGGAAGTCTTCTTCTTCTTTGAGGTTTATTGGCGGTTGGCAGACGACCAGCTGGTGCATTACGGCCACCAACTATGAAGCGTGAATCAAAATGTCTAATATTTACAACATAAAAAATAACGACTCATCTTCTCAGATTGGTTTCTCTGAGAGACAGAAATAGGATTCAATAACACTCATTTCTTCAGTTAATTTGTCGAATATCAATCAAATACAAGTTTACTTTGAATCAGATGCCTTCTTAGTGTAGCATAACATGCTCCACTGTTTCTTCTTGCACACAGTAGTGACATCTGCCTGTATTTTGAATAGTGTACTGTTTAGTCCAGTATCTTGATATCATGGTCTCATCCTTCCTGCTCCTTCCTGCTCACGTCAGTTCTCCCACCTTTCCTTCAATTTCTGCTTAATAATGCCCATGATTTCTGTCTTGTTTAAGCCAACTGCCAAATCAAAGTGATTATTTCTTGTGGCCTCCTTTGCAACCTTAACTTCCATTTGATGCCAATATGGGCAATGTGTGTAATATTGTTTAGGTGGTGCGTTTTTCTCTAAGTCTCTAAAACATGTTTTTCCTCGTGGAGCCCGTGCACACCAACACATCGCTCTGCCACTCTGCTGGGCGCTCCCGGTCAGCTTTCCTAACTAGGAGCGCACAGAACATAATGTACTGTGGGTAATATAATGACTGTTCATGAGTACCTCACACAACCCCACGTCAGAAAACCTGAACTATCCCTTTAAAATAAATTTCAATTGATAATTCAGTTCACTTCATTTTCCAAAATGAAAACAGACATGGTCTTAAAAAAAAAATGGGGCTCAAGTTGAAGCCCACAGTTTAACTCTGATGTTAGATGAACAAACACACTGTATCATATGTTAGCTACTATAGTTCACAGCATACATACTATCTTTTTTTTAAAATAGTTTATGGCAGGCCCGACAGCCTTCCCAGAAAATGGAGGCTGTTGTATCAGTAGATAATGCCTATGGTTTCAGAATGAAACGTATGTTCATTTAAAAAACTGATACATCTGAATATATAGTTTGCTTGACATAGTGATAAATGTGTTTAATGACTGACCTGCTCTGACGGAGACAGTGGTGGGGGCAGTGAACCCAGCTCCTTCAGGTGTCTGTTGGTTTCTTTAGCCAGCTGGTTGGTGTTGTGCTGGAGCTGTTGGCTGCAGAGGAGCACAAACACCACTAGGACCACACTTTAAAGGTTTCAGCTGTCACAGGCTGCATCAGATATTGATAATATTACATGGTATACTGTACTTACAGCCTCTCCTGGAGCTCTGAGGTTTCCTGTCTTGCGCCCAGCTGGTGGAGGAGATTCTTGATCTGACCAGCTGCAGAGAAAAAGGAACCACTTCAGTAAACATGAAGTTCTTCTGGGAAATTCATTCATGAGTGGAAGTGTTTATTATTGATGTGGAGTTGAACATGTTTGCAGCTGTGTATGTGTACAGTGCATTCAGAAAGTTTTTTTCATTTTTTCACATATGCTGCATCCTTATGCTAGAAAATTTTTTTTTTTTAAAAACATTTTTTCCCTCATCAACGTACAAGCCCAGCTCTAGGAAGAGTCCAGTTTGTCCCAAATGTCTTCCATTTAAGAACTATGGAGGTCGCTGTGCAGCAGAATTTTTTGTAGCCAGATCTGAGACTCGACACAATCCTGTCTCTGTCTCAGCTGTGAGACCTTATATAGACAGCTGTGCGTCTTTCCACATCATGTCCAATCATTTGAGTTTACCACAGGTGGACCTTAACCAAGGTGTAGAAACATCTCAGATAGGATCAAGAGAAATAGAGGAACCTGAGCTAAATCAGCATGTCCGTATCGTCCTCGATGTCCCCTCGTACACATGTGCATGCGTGTGTTGGACGCAGTAAGAACTCACAGTTTTGGCTGATCATCTGGATGTTGGAACTGCACGCCTGGACCAGGCTGCTGACGTCCCGAGGCTGGGACCAGCTGGTGTTTGTTCTCATATAGGACATCCTGGCTGTAGCCCACTGGCCTGTCAGACTGCTGTGGAACACACACTAACCAAGACCTAAACACAGTTACAACCAGGAGAATAGAGCACATTTAGTTACATCATCAATAAATCATTTTTTCAATTTCAGCAAATTACAGCTTTTTTAATTTTGTCCCACTTATTTATTTTTTTGCTTTGATGGGGTGCTATACACCTGTGGGGTGTTTCTGTTTTTTTGTTTGTTTTTTCCATCATTCTTTCTGCTTTTCAGTTATTTCTTCTCCATCCCCAGACGGCGTGCTTCCCCAACCTGTGCTGGGGAGTGATTGGCCGACTTGCCACTCCCCTGACTTAAAGGTTCATTTAATCATTCTTTTTCATATAAATAAAAGTAAATAAAGAAAGAATATACATTTAAAAAATGCAAAAAGATAAAGGGACAGAGATAAATAATAGCACCTAAGTAGTTTGGTAACTATATAATAGGAACTATGCAGATTGGTCAGTGTATTTGCTTGTTTTTGTTCCTTTACTTTTCTTCTTCCCTTGACTTGAAGTTTGACTCAATAGTCCAGCTCACTGTGCTCTGCAAAAAGCCTCTTGGACCATTTCCCCCATTTTGAATTTTCCTCCTAAACCATTGGTCCAACTTCTACCAGACTTTGTGTAGATCATCACTGGACCAATCGTATCGAAAGTTATATAAAGCTTGTTACAACATTTGTCGTTACAACAGTCAATTGTAACTACTTAGAGGGGAAAGCATTCTCATCAATATCAGTACATCATGTTTCACAGAGCTGATAAGTTGATTATTTGATCAGTCAGCAGTTGAAAATGTATCAACTATTTTGATAATCCATTAATAGTATTAATTAAAAATCCCAAATATGTGCTTCTTCTTCTTGTTTTGCCTTGTCTTACATTATAGTAAAATTTATATCTTAAAACAAAAACAAAAAAAAACTCTCTGAAAAATAATATAAAAACAATGAAATGTAAATTGAGCTTAAGAACAATTCCTGAGTTATATTCCAGCACTTATTATATCAATACATTTCAAATCTTCAATTTTGACAAAAGCTGTGGAAAAACTTTCATCCATTTGAGACAATTTTATCTTCTTTTTTTTCATAAACCTTTCCCAGTTTCTAGAGAGCCTATAGGCCCTAAATTTACCTCAGACACTTAATAAACGAAGAGTTGTTTCATTTCAAATAAAATATGATGGAGTACAGACCCAAAACAACAACAGTATGTGTCACAGCTCTTCTGTGTATTGGTTCCTCTGAACCACTGTGTTAGGAGAAAGACGTAAATTTGCCAGTGATCTTCCCGTGGAAGAGTCTGATACCAAATAGAGAAAAATAGAGACCATGCAGGGAAAGTCAACCCCATGTAGTCACGTGGATTAATCTTCTAACAGACAGTTCGGGAGGGGAAATAAACCGACACAGTGTGCATGCTATTAATACAAGATTAAAACAGTCTTTCATTGACTACTTATATCACAAAAAGCTACTGCCACGCACATAAATGATACAACTGATATGGAATAAACCTTTTATCCACAACCTTTATTCAGCGTTAATAACAAGTCATGTGTCTCGTACGTTAATTTCAGCCTAGATATTCGCAGTAGTCTCTAACAGACTATCAACTCTCTATTGGTTTATACACGTTTTAACAACGTTCACAGGAGGTCTCTTACTTTGCAGTGAAACCGACGTCGACAGCGTCTGTTGTTCGAAATGCCTCAGATAAATATTTCTGTATCAGAATTAGCAAACCCAACCCGTGCGTGACGTCACGCGTTCGGATCACTAATCCGACGGCAGCTTTGACGCCGCGTTCACTGTCAATAGGAAAAGTGGGTAAAAACGAGCGTTGTGAGATAATAGCTTACTAATAACCGTAATGTTAGAATTTACCCTACAATGAGGCAAAACTATACAATACTATTTTTACCGGTTCTGAATGCAGCATGCACTCAGTAGTCCTGTGACGCCTCGGAGTTAATTTTGATAGACTTGAGGTCTATTTTTCCGTCGTTCTTACCTTATCCTGAACCTAACCTTTTCCCTTTCCCTCAATGTTTACCATGACGCATTTATGACCAGACAATAGTTTCAACTCCATGACATAATTTGGAGATCCTAGAGCCTACCACTGTGCTATGGAGATATCAAAAATTCAAGAATCAAAAATGTCCATGAAAACATGAAACGTTGGCTCAGTGTAACAGGCCTGTTTCTCCTCAGGGAATAATCCCGTGACTGTCCCATGACTTTCCCACTGACTCTAATAAACAAGTGTAAATGCAGCAGTGTGAATGTGAGGCCCTGCATCTGTCAACAGACAAAAGTCAATGTAAACCAATGGAAAGAGTATGAAAAATATAGTTATAAAAGGAATGGAGCATCCATTACCTGCAGGGACGAGGAACAGAGATATCGAGGTCATGACTCTAAGTCAATTGGGCTACAGTTGAAGTTTCAGGACAACGCAGGGGTAACATCCCTATGTGTGCAGCTACAGGAGAGAGTGGGGTCATACACATGAACCAATAATCCTGCTATTCTTTTATTGTTTCTTGATGGGCTTGGAGAGCTGTTGATTGTAGGAGAAGCTATTTCAGATAGCAAAATAAATTATGCTAGATTTCTTCTGGGCCAGTATACACCTGGTTCCACAGCCCATACTGTATACATATATATATATATATACACATTGATTATTATGAGCTTTGATTCTTGTTTTTCTACTGTACATTTTAGGCAATTCTTGTCTGTTTACATTCTTTTTATACTTATAGCACTAACAACTTACACTAAGGAGGAATGGAAGGCTGCAGGAAGAATACTGGCCCAGGGATTTCTGAACCAGGCGTGCTTTCAAATGCACCTCACCCAAACATTTACCACAGCTCTTTGCTATGTGAGTCAGTGGGAGAGAGCTCATAACACTGCTTTGCTGCAGAGACCTTGACAACGATGGGCAGGATGAGTTGTGAGATCAACAACTTAACCTTAAAGAAGCATTCATTCAAATAGCACACAATGTGATGATTCAGCGACCGAAGAATGGTCTCGATAACATGTCAATAGACAACCTTAACCACATCAGCAAAAATATAGATTGTAACTGTCTAAGAGATAGGGTTCATTGATTTTCAGTATTTTATATGTTTCATATGGTTTCATGGTAAATTCTTGATCATCTAGGTTCATACAGTCGATAAAAAGGATTAAAAATGCAACAAATATGATGTTAAAAAAGGGTAACACTGATAAAAGGTTTGTCTAAAATATACCAGTTTGAAATCCTTTTTGGTTGGAAAAGGAAATGCCCTTCACGTAAGTCTTTGTTTGGAGAGTAACAAGTCACATGACCAGTTTAGTGAAGGGCATGACCATGGCATTGTGGGTCAGAGCACTGGGTCAGAATTCCTTTCTCTATTTTATTTACTGGCGCTTATAAACCGGTTCATGGATGTATTAGTGCACCTGCTGGACCGGAATACTACATTTAATACATCGATTCAATTCAAATTAATTCAGTTCAATCATTCTGTACATCTATTGGATCGGTACAATTCAAATGAACTGGAAACAGCTCACATCAGCTCATTTCCATTAATTAGATCGTTGATATCAATTTAAAATTTCTATTCAACTCAAGTAACTACATATATTACATTCATTGCTACTGCTACTGTTCCTCCAATTATATCTATCACATCAACTACATCACTAACACAAAATACAAAATGACACAAACATGATACCAAATAAGTCAAATCATGACAAATCAAAGAGATTTTTCAGCAGTTTGTCTCTTGAATCCTGAGCTGACGTCACAGATACTCATCATCACCAGGACAGATATTCTTCTGGGGGATTTCAAGGTTCCTCCGATTCCTTGCTGGAGTGGTAATCTGAATCTGTGTCTCAGGGTAATGGGGTTTCTGGAGACAAGTAAAGGGTTTCATCATCAGAGTCCTCCCCGCTGGTCTGGATCTGGATCTGGACCTGGTCCGTGGTGCGGCCCTCAGCGTGGCCGCCGTGCATCCTGACCAGGAAGAAAACAACGTGGTCGTCAGTGGAGTGAAACAGACTGTGTCCCTGCAGATCTGAATCAGATCAGCGTGTTTTATTTTCTCAGGAGTGGATTTCTGCTGCTCCACTCTTCGGCCTGTCGCCACGGGAGCGATATCGGTGTGCAATGCATGCACCTCTCCATGCACAAATTTACTGCATCATTGGTTTAGCAAGAAAAGCACACTGAAAACAATTGTGAATCTTATAAGGATCATAACGCAGCAACAGTATCAATCTGTCCCTGTCCCTTGAATTGTAAAAATTTTTTTATTAAAGTTCAACAGTGTTTCCATTATTTCCCTTTATCATTTTTAATGACATGAACACAAGAAAACATTGAGATGATCTGAAACTTCACCTTGTCATTTCCTGCCCTTCCTCCCCCATTTCCTCCAGGTCTTTCTTCAACACGTGGTTAATGAGCGCCACGCCAATCAGTCTCAAGTTTGAAGGTAGTTTCCCAGTCATGAACTTCAATGACGTGGCTTGCTACCATGAACAGCACTCCAACTGGCATGCAGCTGGAAAGGAAGTGATGTAATGAGTTAATGGAGAGCAGCTTTATGTAAAAACTTACCTAAAAACAGTGTTGTCAGATTACCATTACATTACACTACATGTCCAAATGGGAAACTCTTACATTTGTCTCATTGCAGAAAATAGAAGAAATCCAATGTGACAACATCAGCAACATTCACAGGGGGTAGGAGAGTTAAAGACGCCGCCATGTTTTGTTAGAAAGATGACTGAACTATTTTTGAAGTTAACATTGTGAGCAGAAAAAAAAAACTGTATTTATATTACATTCAGTGTTTGTGAGCAAAAGCACTCCATCACTCCTGTCCAGGAGGGAAGAGCCACAGAAATGGAAATTCTGCCATACTCCTACCCACTGCAGCCTTCTCTGTCTCTACAAGCTCCAACTCCAAACAAACCAATCATTGCTGGTTGACGTAAAAAAACGCATTGTAACTGGTGCTCCAGCGAGGGAAAGTCACCACAGACTGCGAAATACAGAGAGATTTACCTGGCTCGCTCTGATAGGCTTGTATGTAAAGTGTGACACTTCAGCTTTAAGAAAAACATGACCTAAGGACCTCACCGACCTGGACGTTGTATGTATAAAAACCAGAAATGATGTCAGATGTCTTTCTTCTCACCTGACTAGATCCAACAAGGCATCGACAGTGGAGAAGGACTCCTCGTCTTCCGTGTCATCTGGTTTAACAGCATAAGCAATCCCGGGCTGGATAATCATGACCAATATGGACAGACCAACAAATATTACTGTGATTACTGTTAATATTTACAGTGCTTCACAAAAAAATGAATTAATAAGATTACAAAGTTCTTTAGAAGAAAAAATGACAGTCAACAAAACTGATGCTGAACTTCAAATGACTGATATCTATTAATCAAAACACATGCTTTTCAGCATTTTATCTAATATATCTATCTGTAATATTTATAAAATTAGAGCTTTGAGCTATGGGTTGGCTAAGCCCAACCTATCCACTGTCTTGTTACTGACATCATGAACAATGAATGAAAGGATTTCCTGTCAACCAATGAGAATAAAGTCCTGTCACCCGAATGCAAACATGTCCAACATTTACCAGTTGTAGCCATAAAATGTAAAGTGGCAAGAGGGAATCTTTTAGACCATCTAAGGCCTCTGTTTTGAGGAAACAACACCTTTCAACACCTGCAGAGACCTTGCTCTTACCTCTAATCACAGCCGTCATAGTGGTTGAGAAAAGGTTTCATTATTTGGACCAGAAACACCTATATAAAAAAACAAAATAAAACTGGAATTACCTCCACCTCTCAGACTACTTTCAGGTTCCATCCCGAGTCATATGAAATATGAACCATTTGTGTGAAATTTTGTCATATTTGCTGTGTGAAGTCTTGAGAAATGTCTAAAAGGTCACCACGACCTTGACCTTTGACTGCCAAAATATAAACAGTTCATTGTTGAGCCCTAACAAATGTTTGTGCCAAATTTGAAGAAGTTCCATCAAGGCGTTACTGAGATATCGTTTCCACGAGAATGGGACGGACGGACGGACAACCTGAAAACAATATGGCTCCTGCCCTGGCTGTTGCCAGCGTGGAGGCATTAAAAAACAGAAGCTATGGTTTGCAGGTCAGTAAAGTCATATATGTGTGTGACATCACTGTGATGTCATGGAAAGTTCTCGGGAATGTTGTTTAAGATCTCTGTGAGAATCATTTGGAGACATATCATTTCCAAATTGTGAGCCATTGGTGTCCAACATGTAAAATATTAATCACCACCTGTTCTACATTATTTCAATTGGGTCATATTACTAATTGCATCACAGTTTGTTCATATCTTGTGTTGTGACTGGCTGACAAGTATTTTACACATTTTTCTACCTGTAACCAGCCAATCAGTAACCACCACCTGGGCTACACAAATTAAACAGCAGTATTATTTCTACTGGGCAAATATACAGTGCAATGACTGTAAAATCTGTTGGCTGAGAGTCTTTGTGAGTGATTAATGAAAGTCACATGAAAAAGTGTACATGTATCACTGACATAGTGCAGCGCCAGTCAGACTCCACCAGCTGTCACAAGAAACCTGTGTGTACAACAGCCACAGTTTAGAGAGAGCTGAAGCTATTTGGCTTCTGTTCCACTCGCCTCGGCCAGACAATGCT